GTTACAGGTGTCACTAGTGGGTGTACTATGAGTTACAGGTGTCACTAGTGGGGTATACTGTGAGTTACAGGTGTCACTAGGGGGTGCACCGTGAGTTACATGTGTCACTAGTGTATGTACTGTGAGTTACAGGTGTTACTAGTGGGGTGTCCTATCAGTAACACAGGTGTCACTAGTGGGTGTACTATCAGTTACACAGGTGTCACTAGTGTTTGTACTATCAGTTACACAGGTGTCACTTGTGAGTGTAGTGTGAGTTACAGGTGATACTAGTGCGTGCACTGTGAATTACAGTTGTCACCAGTGGGTTGTACTATTAGTTACATAGATGTCATTAGTGGGGTGCACCATGAGTTACATATGTCAATAGTGGGTGTACTATGAGTTACAGGTGTCACTAGTGGGGTGTACTGTGAGTTACATGTGTAACTAGTGGGTGTACTATGAGTTACAGGTGTCACTAGTGGGATGTAGTATGAGTTACATGTGTCACTTTTGGCGTGTACTTTCAGTTACACAAGTGTCACTAGTGGGGTGTACTATGAGTTATACAGGTGTCACTAGTGGGTGTACTATGAGTTACAGGTGTCACGAGTGGGGTGTACTGTGAGTTACAGGTGTCACTAGGGGGTGCACCATGAGTTACATGTGTCACTAGTGGGTTGTACTATTAGTAACACAGATGTCATTAGTGGGGTGCACCATGTGTTACATGTGTCACTAGTGGGTGTACTGTGAGTTACAGGTGTTACTAGTGGGTGTACTATGAGTTACAGGCGTCACTAGTGGGGTGTACTATGAGTTATACAGGTGTCACTAGTGGGTGTACTATGAGTTACAGGCGTCACTAGTGGGATGTAGTATGAGTTACATGTGTCACCTGTAGGGTGTACTTTCAGTTACACAAGTGTCACTAGTGGGGTGTACTGTGAGTTACAGGTGTTACTAGTGGGTGTACTCTGAGCTACACGTGTCACTAGTGGGTGTACTATGAGTTACACAGGTGTCACTAGTGGGTGTACTGTGAGTTACAGGTGTCACTAGTGAGTGTACTATGAGTTACAGGTGTCACTAGTGGAGTATACTGTGAGTTACAGGTGTCACTAGTGTGGTGTACTATGACTTACACGTGTCACTAGTGGGTGTAGTGTGAGTGACACGTGTTACTAGTGGGTGTGCTATGAGTTACAGGTGTCACGAGTTGGTGTACTATTAGGTACACGTGTCACTAGTGGGTATACTATGAGTTACACGTGTCACTAGTATTGTCACGTGTACTATGATTTACAGGTGTCATTATTGGGAGAACTGTGTGTTATAGGTGTCACTAGTTGCTGTACTATGAGTAACAGGTGTCACTAATTAGGAGTACTATAAGTTACAGGTGTCAAAAGTGGGGCGTACTAAGAGTTACAGGTGTCACTAGTGTGTGTACTGTGAGTTACAGGTATCACTAGTGAGTGTACTAAGAGTGGCAGGTGTCACTAGTTGGTGTACTGTGAGTTATAGGTATCAGTAGTGGGTGTACTATGAGTGACACGTGTCACTAGTGGGTGTACTATGAGTGACAGGTGTCACTAGTGGGTGTATTATGAGCGACACGTGTTACTACTGGGATGTACTATGAGTTACACGTGTCACTTGTGAGATGTACTATGAGTTACACGTGTCACTAGTGTGTGTACTATGAGTGACACGTGTTACTAGTGGGTGTAGTATGAGTAACACGTGTCACTAGTGGGTGTACTATGAGTTATATGTGGAACTAGTGGTGTGTACTGTGAGTCATGTGTGTCATTAGTGGTGTGTGCTATGAGTTATATGTGTCACTAATGGTGTGTGCTATGAGTTATATGTGTCACTAATGGTGTGTAGTATGAGTTACATGTGTCACTAGTGGTGTGTACTATGAGTTACATGTGTCACTAGTGGGTTGACCATGAGTTACACGTGTCACTAGTAGGTGTACTATGAGTGACACGTGTCTCTATTGGTTGTACTATGAGTGACACGTGTTACTAGTGGGTGTACTTTTAGTTACACGTGTTACTAGTGGGTGTACTATGAGTTACACGTGTCACTACTGAGATGTACTATGAGTAACACGTGTCACTAGTGGGTGTACTATGAGTGTCACGCGTTACTAGTGAGTGTACTATGAGTTATGTGTGTCACTAGTGGTGTGTGGTATGAGTTATATGTGTCACTAGTGGTTAGGGACTATGAGCTACATGTGTCACTAGTTGTGTGTACTATGAGTTACATGTGTCACTAGTGGGTGTACCATGAGTGACACGTATCTCTGGTGGTTGTACTATGAGTGACACGTGTTACTACTGGAATGTACTATGAGTTACACGTGTCACTAGTGGGTGTACTGTGAGTTATAGGTGTCACTAGTGGTTGTAGTATGAGTGATATGTGTTACTAGTCGGTGTACTTTTAGTTACACGTGTTACTAGTGGGTGTACTATGATTTACACGTGTCACTACTGGGATGTACTATGAGTTACACGTGTCACTTGTGAGATGTACTATGAGTTACACGTGTCACTAGTGGGTGTACTATGCGTGTCACGTGTTACTAGTGGGTGTACTAAGAGTTACAGGTGTCACTAGAGGGTGTACTATGAGTTACAGGTGTCGCTAGTGGGTATACTATTCGTTTGGGTGACTTAATGGTTAAAGCGTGTTCAATTCACCACATGGCATGGGTACAGTATGTGAAGCTCATTTGTGGTGTCCCCCGCCAAGATAATGATGGAATATTGCTAAAAGCGGCGTAAGACAAGATTCACTTACTCTACTCTGTCAGGGGCGGCACTAGATCTTATACTGGCCAAGGCACTCCTGTGATTCCCTAATCCAAAGCTACGCTCGAAGTGCGTGTATAATTCGGGAAACGTTAATTTTTTAGCATGTATGTCGACATGTTGGTTTATTTGAAATTTCAAGCCACGCATTTACGGAAACAAAACATACAAATCATGTGCGTGGAATGTTGATGCAATTCTTTTCCAGCAATAAGAGATACTTCAAAATCGTCTTTATGTAGTTAATTGATACATCCGACCGTTTCTGGTCATTAGCTGACATTATTAAACCATCCATGTGTAATCCGATGTCCTTTTTTCCTCAAGGACTAATTTTCTGATTTTCATGGTGTATACAAAAGAAGAACTGTGCTCCGGAGATCGTAAATAACAGCATAATGTAAAATATGTTCTGAATATGCTTATTCATGAATAACGACGACATCTCAATTTAAATGTAATATGGCTGAATTCCACATTCGACATACGACTCTTTTGATTGTGTGGATGCTTATGTTCACTGGAAATATTTGGAATAGTTATATTCCGTATTTTAAATTAACCCAGTCCCCCGCGTTGTGTTTAATCAGTGCACCGCACACAGCCACATGTGACACGTTTGGTAGCAAAGTCAAAGCAAAATCGGAGTAGTGTGTCGGCGAATTTGCATCAAGGCTGTAGTATTTTTCAACCGTTTAATGGAATTCAACGTACAAGCCGTAGCTCTGGTCACTCATATATTTTGTGCCCCATGACTCAAATCTTTTTGCGTCTGTACCGTGTTCCACTGACCTCGATAATCTGTTGGATGAAGACACAGCTCTCTACAGTCACATAGTTAACACCAAAGGCTATGGGGGGTATTTAGGTCATAATCAGCTCCCAGCAGCCACTGCCTCAAGCGATATTGTCTACATAACAGATAAGTTTTATGGCTCCGTCACAGGTGTTCCAAATATTGAAGCAGGGAAAACAAATTTCATAGGATCAAATCAACAATCAATATTGATATCCCCGTCACTTTTGGTAACTTTTAATGATGTCACCATTTTTACGGATTTTGATTCGTATGCATTATTTGACTCTCATCAGCGGAATGGTTTGGGTCAGACTGATCCGAATGCTCATGATAATAAGCACTGGATTGTCTGGTCCAGACTCGATTATTTACAGACCGCCGTCATATAGCTGGAATAATGCTGAGTGCGGCGTTAAACGACAAACCAATCAATCATCATCATATGAACTCCAACCAGTCATTGTTACAAGTAAACCACATTCCACAACAGTTACTGACACTGGATAAAAAAAACAGTACATAGAAAAAAAACAAGTAACTCAACTCATCATGATCACAATTACTATTCTTTGAAAGAAAGAAATACAAAAATGAAACTGACCGAAAACGTAATATAAGAGACGAGGAATCTCCGTTATTGATTTGTCCCGGTATTGAAATGTTATCCAACTACGTGATAATATTTTGAGTATGTGCATCTGTGGTTGTGACAAAAAGACCTTATCTAGTATGACTTTTTTGCCATATGGAGCCCTTAGAATTTTCTTTTACATTATTATAACTAAATGCCAAGTGTAAAAAGAATGTGATCTATTATTTGAGTATGTGCATCTTCCAATGTTGTTGGCAGTTTTGATACCATTTCCACATGTTTACATTTGTGCCAGAAATTGCTTCCATTTCCTTCTATCTACTTTTTAAATAAAGACCCAGGTTAGAATAGGTCTTCAGCAACCCATGCTTGCCGTAAGAGGCGACAATCAGGATTGGGTAGTCAGGCTCGCCGATTTGGTCGATGCATAACATCATATTCAAGTTGCATAGTTCGATGCTCTTGGTGTCAATCACTGGATGATCTGGTCCAGACTGGATTATTTACAGACCGCCGTCATATGGCTGGAATACTGTTGAGTGCGGCGTTAAACAAGAAACTATTTTTAAATAGACCTACCCAATGCAAATGTATCAACTGTATTGCCCAATACTCAAAATAGATTAAAAAAAATTTCCACAACAACGTTGTGTTATTTGTTGTTAATATAATTATGCTCCTTCATGCCTTTCAGTAATATCATAATTTGCATCAATGTTTTCTTGTTGTTGTCTCGGAGAGGTGTAGTCTGGCATCAGTGTGCCTGCTGCACATCCAGTGACTGACGCGAGACGACTCGTAAACAGGAAGTTGTCCCAGACGTCACTGTCTTGTATTGCGTCGCGTCTGTGTTTAAATACCAGCCCCATTGCAGGAGCGGGTGTTGAGCCGAGATAGTGACAGCCCAGATAGTGTCAGCCAAGATGGGTGCACGTGTAAGTATAACAATGCCCGTGTATAGATGTTTAGGACATGCTAGCGTTGGTTCAGGTCGTTCATTACTGAGTTCATGAAGTGATCCGCGCGATGTCTTATATAAGAAACGACTCGTGGTTTATTCTCCTTGTAGTGTTTTATTGTTCGATAAACAATGACCACGAGTCCTTTATTTTGTGTATGAGTTATCAACATTATGTACATACTCTTTAAGGATGGAGATAAAATCTACAAGTTTTAAAAATAATCACCCCTATTTGAATAATGATAACTCCATCGCGTTTATCTGCGTTGCCCAGCTACATGTATGGGGAGCAACTCACTAGACACTCCCATTATGACGTCATCAAGTTGGGATCGCATGTTCGAATCTCCTGAAGTGACGTCATGATAGGACAACGCTTTATCGTGAAATAAACCACGCTTCATTCTTCATTGTTCTTTGCGATCTTGCTCAAGTGACGACTGTTTGGCTATCACTGCACTCAAGGACATCTATCTCGTCCTGTAGGAAATACAGAACTATCATCGCAGGAATACAGGAATAGTTCCAGCACGTAGTGTGTCAACAGAAACAAATAAAACCAAGCGATTCAAAGGGCAGAGATTTTAAGGATGTCAACTTCTTTCTTTTGAGGAAACACAACGTTTCGGAGTATATGTTTACTCCTTCATCAACACATGCTGATCCATAAGTTCTCTTCCTCATGTGTTTCAGTTCCGATGGAGGAGTAAGCATATACACGGAAACGGGGTTTTTCCTCATGAAAAAAAGTTGACACCATGAATTATATTCCTTACGTGTATCACTTCTATCTTCCATTCAAAGACTCAAGTGATTCAAGTTTTGAAATTAGAAACTCACACAATTGTCCTTTTAAGTTCAATATGACACATTGTACAAGCACAGAAAGCTCGAGGTGCTGATGCTAGCTAGATACGCACACAGTAGACTGGCAGCGAAGGGAAGGAACCAGTGGCTGTCGGGAAGAGGGGACGTTAGACACCGTAGTGGGGGTCACACCGCGTTGATGTGAGAATAGACTCCTTCCACTCAATCTGTCATATGTAACGTGACTGGATGACGTTAGACACCGAAGTGGGGGTCACAGCGCGTTGATGTGAGAATAGACTCCTTCCACTCAATCTGTCATATGTAACGTGACTGGATGACGTTAGACACCGTAGTGGGGGCCACAACGCGTTGATGTGAGGATAGACTCCTTCCACTCAGTCTGTCATATGTAACGTGACTGGATGACGTTAGACACCGTAGTGGGGGTCACACCGCGTTGATGTGAGGATAGACTCCTTCCACTCAGTCTGTCATGTGTAACGTAACTGGATGACGTTGGACACCGTAGTGGGGGTCACACCGCGTTGATGTGAGAATAGACTCCTTCCACTCAGTCTGTCATGTGTAACGTAACTGGATGACGTTGGACACCGTAGTGGGGGTCACACCGCGTTGATGTGAGGATAGACTCCTTCCACTCAGTCTGTCATATGTAACGTGACTGGATGACGTTAGACACCGTAGTTGGGGCCACAACGCGTTGATGTGAGAATAGACTCCTTCCACTCAGTCTGTCATATGTAACGTGACTGGATGACGTTAGACATCGTAGTGGTAACATGCTGGTATTACTTACAGCGAATGCGTCAAGAGATAGCTTGTTTGAAGTAATGGTACTGGCTAGATAAGACCCTGGTGCATGCTGCACACAACGCTATCCCCGTCTTGAAGCCGGGTTAGAATCAACCCCAGCGACTTATACCCTGTACGTGTGGGTGGCGTATTCGATCGGGTGACCGGGTTGATTGTTAGACGTGGTCACCATATCAATCACTGGATGTTCAGGTCCAGGCTCGATTATTTACAGGCCGACGTCGAAAAGCTTGAATATTGCCCCGTTAAAGAACGAGCAAACACATCATATCTTAAATCAGACTGTATTTTTAAAATAATTTACTGGGCATAAAATGACAATAGGGTTGAATTGCAGACTTCAGTCGGTGTGCCATATCTGGTGATAGCTGTCCAATGCGCTTGATAGTAATCAAGGGACTCGACTGCCACAGGCCGCCGTCTGACGGCTGTAATATTGCTGAGTGCAGCCTTAACCAAAACACACACACCACACACGAAGCAGTTGTAAACACCGGACATAGCCGCTATATCTCAAGGGTGGATCCCCTCGCACGCTGGGCCGAGCTCTTACGTCACTTCCTGTTTGTCTTTTGTTACAAATTATCATTGATATATTTTGGCATGAAGTATTTGACATGTTAAGATCTGAATAATGTACGCATGTTTAGATACGTGTTATAGCAATATAAAGTAGACATAATTTATGGAGAAACAACTTCTTTAATACTGTAAAGGCGACATTTCGGTACAGATCCTTCTGTTGTTTGACAGTAATCATTGTCTATCAAGACTGTATAGACGCACAATATCATTACTGCCATAATCAGAGAAAGTATGTTCATTGCAGATCCTGCTATTTGCCCTCTGGGGATTAACAACAGTTGCAGCACAGGGCTGCCCCTCCGGATGTGTGTGTCCAAGAGTTGGTCACGTGTCTTGTACAGGGCTCTCCTCCTTCCCAGAAACCTTCCCCCCATCAACGGAAGTAGTCACCATTTATCAATCTTCCTTACCGGAGATACCACCGGATTCGTTCAAGGGTCTGCCTCGCCTTAACATGGTCTCACTGTACAAGAACACGATTCAGAAAATAAGAAACTGCGCCTTTAAAAACTTGATGAAGATGAAGTCATTATCTATCTACCAATCGAACATTGATACGATTGAATCCGGAGCATTTTCTAACATGACGTTCGTAAGTCGAGGAATGTTATCTTTGTACAGCCTTACTATTGGAGCCATCCAGCCATACGCCTTTTCTTCAATATCGGATTCCCGTATCAGTATTTACAGTGCCAATATTACAACCATGGGATCATTCTCTTTCCACAAAATAGCGGCAAAGTCCTTCTCGCTGTATTTGGCAAACATTGGCCACGTGGACACCTCAGCGTTTGCAGAATTCAATGAAACCAAATCGGCCAGTATTTATTCGTGTTACATTGCAAATCTTCACTGCAATACGTTGAACGTCCTTCAGTCAGAAGTCGGTAATTACTTCTCATTCTACCAGCTAGACTTTAACTGCAGTTGTGAGCTAGCATGGTTGTTTGAGGCTGCGCAGGACAACCCCTACTTCGCCAATTCACTGAACCGAAACCGCTGCCACAACAGTTCATCCTTGTTTCCTGGCAGAAGTTTAAGAACTCTAAACGCAACGCTTCTGTGCCCGACGGGAAGTGCCACGTCTGAGTGCTTGGTGCCGGAAGTTGCCTTTCCATCCCAGTGTCCGTTGCCTGGCTCTCCAACCGAGTCTCCATTGCCTGGCAACGGAGACGGTGGTAATGGTGGTAATGGTGGTAGTGGCCACGCCGCGTATGTCCTCGTGGTGTTGACCCTTGTGACCATTCCGTTCATGACGAATCATCTGAATGACTAACCCTGTGAATGAATGTGACCTACATGTATGTAACGTGTATACACTGGATGTCCGTCTCTGACGAGCACTACACTGCACATCCCTCGCGAGTCTTCTCATACAGTGATTTATATACACATCGGATTTATCTTTACACTTACACATGGAACATTCACTTACTACCTTACTTTAAAGGTTTTTGCAAAACTTAATATGTTGAAAGTTGTACATTGGTAGCCAGACAAATACCCAGGTGGCTGTTAAGGCCCTCACAATTCGGAGCAAGATGAAGCAGATTTTATGATATTGTCCATACCTTTTTTCGCAGGGTTATTTAATAAACAAACATACTGCTACAATGGTTTTCTGAATCTAATCTCTCTACTAAGTATACACGGATGAGTGAGTGAGTGAGTGAGTGAGTGAGTGAGTGAGGTGAGTGAGTGAGTGAGTGAGTGAGTGAGTGAGTGAGTGAGTGAGTGAGGTGAGTGAGTGAGTGAGTGAGTGAGGTGAGTGAGTGAGTGAATGTGTGAGTGAGTGACTCTGTGAGTGAGTGAGTGAGTGACATGCAGCAAGGATACAGCTGGTAGTTGCAGCTACTCGTGTGTGAGGTGACTGTGTTGATTGCATGTCATCGCATCCCACATGCGTGGATCGCTGCTCACGATGTTCCAGACTTAATTCGATTGGTTGAATGTATTACATCGTACACCGACGGCGTGGAACGTTGCTCACCATATCGATGGTGACTTGCCTGGTCGACAATCGCTCAATTACAGGCCGCCGTCATATAGCTTGAATATTGCAGTGGGACGTTAAACTAACACAATTATACACCTGCCATGAGACAGTGGCCTGTACACAAACCAGACTATCAAGTGATCAATGGACCAGAAAATTCAGCGACGAGATAACGTATTTACTTATTTGAAAACACTCTTAGTCTAAAAAGGCAGTTTGCAATATCTCGGCCCAAACATATCCGTTATAGTTGACTCAGCATAATTGATAAATGCTACTTTTATAATAAAAACTCGGGGACTTTGGTTCCCCAACAGAAACATGGACCCAGTTCAAGTACATATACAACGTCAACGCCAGAGAATAAGCAGTTTACCCAAACATATTTGGGAGTAACATATACAGGGAACCTTCCCAAAGTAAGATCTTCACGGACCCCTGCCCAGCACATTGATTTTGATACAAACACATTTATTTCCATAAAGTGGAGGGATTGGCAAACAAGCAAATTTTGCTTATCTGAATGCCTCTACCAAACATGATACATATACAAATAGCAATGTATTGATAGTGACATGAGAAATAGCAATAGCATACATTGTATAATTGGGATTAAAGGTAAATATTGTTCTGTAAGTGTTTAATTACTGGATTATCTTCCATAATTACAGTTACATTATTATTTACATTCAGCACAACAACATCGCAGTATCATATAGCAAAGCCATCATCTCAGACAAAATCTCTAAATTGGCAAGAAGATAGAATAAAAGTGTGCACCGATTTCAAAATTTCAAGATTTGTTACTGTCGTTACATTTGAATTACCATTTAGAATTGAATTTAAATCGTAGCCTTTTACGAAATAATACATGTTTTGCCTTACTGTACTGTTTAAGGGACACGTAAGAAAGAAATGAAGTGCATCTATCGTATGATAGCCACAACAACATCTCGGGCTGTCGGATATGACGGGAGTGTATAACCTGACAGAATCTTGATCCATAATTTGGCACATTGATTTTAACATGAAAGCACGGCCTAAAAGTAATGTAACAAACTAAATTATCAGACACGTTCATGATCAAACGGCCGCCGACTTGCCTGCTTTCTTTCTTCCACTCCGACGCCTGACGGGAGCCGCGTTCACAAAGCGATCTTGGCGCTACGATAATCGTAAACCCTATGCTATATGGGCTGAAAACATCGTAGTGCTATGCTCGCTTTGTGAACGATCCCTGACCACCTACATCTCCTTGGGACAATGAGATGCACGTGTTGAACTGCTATCACTCTATATATCCTTGGGACAACGACATGCACGTGTTGTACTGCTGTCACCTACATCTCCTTGGGACAACGACATGCACGTATTGTACTGCTGTCACCTACATCTCCTTGGGACAGTGAGATGCACGTGTTGAACTGCTATCAGCTATATATCCTTGGGACAACGACATGCACGTGTTGTACTGCTGTCATATGCATCTCCTTGGGACTGCTGTCATCTACATATCATTGGGACCACGACATGCACGTGTTGTACTGCTGTCACCTACATCTCTTTGGGACAATGAGATGCACGTGTTGTACTGCTGTCAACTACATCTACTTTGGACAAAGAAACACACGAGTTGCACTGCTGTCACCTACATCTCCTTGGGACAACGACATGCACGTGTTGTACTGCTGTCACCAACATCTATTTTGGACAATGAGAAGTACGTGTTGTACTGCTGTCACCTACATCTCCTTGGGACAACGACATGCACGCACGTGGTGTACTGCTGTCACCAACATCTCCTTGGGACTGCTGTCACCTACATCTCCTTGGGACAACGGCATGCACGTATTGTACTGCTGTCACCTACATCTCCTTGGGACAACGACATGCACGTATTGTACTGCTGTCACCTACATCTCCTTGGGACAATGAGATGCACGTGTTGAACTGCTAACACCTATATATCCTTGGGACAACGACATGCACGTGTTGTACTGCTGTCACCTACATCTCCTTGGGAAAACGACATGCACGTGTTGAACTGCTGTCACCTACATCTCCTTGGAACAATGAGATGCACGTGTTGAACTGCTGTCACCTACATCTCCTTGGGACTGCTGTCACCTACATATCATTGGGACAACGACATACACGTGTTGTACTGCTGTCACCTACATCTCCTTGGGACAACGGCATGCACGTGTTGTACTGCTGTCACCAACATCTCCTTGGGACAACGACATGCACGCACGTGGTGTACTGCTGTCATCTACATCTCCTTGGAACAACGACATGCACGTGTTGTACTGCTGTCATCTACATCTCCTTGGAACAACGACATGCACGTGTTGTACTGCTGTCATCTACATCTCCTTGGAACAACGACATGCACGTGTTGTACTGCTGTCACCAACATCTTCTTGGGACAACGACATGCACGCACGTGTTGTACTGCTGTCATCTACTTCTTCTTGGGACAACGACATGCTCGTGTTTCAAGTCTAAATCATATTAACACATCTGATAGCTTCCATAATGATTTATTGACGTTTTCCTCATTTTGTTCATTATTCAAATCCCATGGGCCAAAACTGACCCCTCACATCGCGTGTTCTCTCCCCCCATGATCCTAAATGTTGAAAGGGTAAGAAAAGCTACGATCCGAGTCTAACCTATGCAACAGTCCTCCATAACACGAACCTGAAATTAAACAATGTTTTTTCCAAGGACACATGCATCTTAGTAGAGTGGAGAGTCAGTAGAATCTCCCGCATATGCACAAACAATAGTGCGGAATTTTTAAAATCCAAATCAAGGATTTTGTCCTGGTTAACATCTGTCATCTGGTCTCCCGTAGGAACTGAACTTTTAACTTTGAAACATGATGCAGAGCTCCCTCGGCATCAACAATCTTTGAATCGCAATTTCCAGTGATGAAAAAGCGCAAGGCTCTTCGTAAACAATGTGTACCAGTTGACACCCGCCTATTGTTTGCTGTTTAACGCCGCACTCAGTAATATCCCAGCTTTATGATGGCGGTTTGTAATTAATCGAGTCTGGACCAGACAATCCAGTGATTAACACCATGAGCATCGATCCACGCAATTTGGATACGATGACATTCATCAACCAAGTCAGCGAGCCTGACCACCCGATCCCGTTAGTCGCCTGTTACGACAAACATGACTTGCTGAAGACCTATTTCCCCAGATCTTCACGGGGGACAAGCATGAGTTGCTGAAGACCTAGTCATTACGGGACTGTCCGCCTGATGAGGGCTACGCATGGTGTTGTGGATAGCAAGGACACTCTCCTCAAGGTGGACCCCACACGCCCATTGCCCAGGCGTACTGTAACATACACCGTAAGCAATGAGACCATATGAGACTATCGATTGAATACAACACTAAGGCTCTCTTTCACTCTCGCAGCAATCGGTGGAAGAACGGTAACAGACATATCTTTAGGGGCGCTGATTTGCATTAGAATAGACCGTCCATTTGAGTGAGGACGTGATCGTCGCAAGGGATCACTCCACGATATTCCAACACTCTCCTATCTAAACACAACTGACAGTTCAGATACCAAGTATGAACGATATTTTTAAAGAATAAAATGATTCAAAATGCTCAGCATCTTCAAGGGAATAGTGAATAGTTAAGTCTAAACGGTAGGGCCACCTGTTGTCGCCGGGAGTTATGCGGCAATGACAGTAGTTTACTACCCGCAATTGTTTGTACATATGAAAGTGAAAACAAATTGTACACATAAAATGTAATAAAGTAGAAGTGCATACTCCTTCGGGTCGGGTTCAGCTAAACTTTTCACTTCTCCATTTAACACACGCTTTTGGTAAAACAAATAGATAAACTGTCAAATATGTCAACAGCTGGCTTACCAACTACTAAAACAATCTTGTCCAAGCGTGATGTATTGACGGGGACGCGATCCGTACCAGCACTGAAAGGATAGCGACAGGTACGTACATAAGAATACACTCTTGTCAACATTAAAATATGTCAATTTACGCTTAAAATGTAACCTCTAGAAATATTGATATTTCTTAGAAGCCGCATGAGTCTTGACATTCGAGATTAACTTATCTACAAATCTACAAATTTTCCTAATATTTGTGTTCTGTCACGCCTTCGACAGGCTCGCGGCTGATGATGACAGGTGTTAATTTGTTCTTCTCAAGCCTGACATCAATGATTAATTCCCAATACTGACATATGGGGTGATGTGTGGGAGTTCCCAAGCATTTATAAGTAGATTTAGTTTTCAATTATTTCACATTTGGAACATAACAACTTCTTGCGCAATTAAACTTGAAACGAAAGTCAGTGTCTGGGATGGATGCGACACAAACAGGATGCTATTGCTATTGTCAATTTCCCCAAGAGGAAGTGTCAACTGCCGTGCTGATGTTAGTGCGACATTCCTCCGAGGGGATGTGCTGATGAGATGGGGGAGACGGAATACACAGACATGTACATGTACAGTAAACAACGGTTGTAACGAACTCAACGGGTCCACTCACTTTTAGTTCGTTATAACCGTAGTTCGTTACAAGCATACGTGAGTCAGTGAGTGAGTACGGTTTTACGCCGCCTTT